GACCTGAGTTCAAATCTGTCCTCAGACATTTATTAGCTATATGATGCTGGGCAAGTCACTTAACCCTTTTAAAAATCAATTTCCATATTTTTTTTTCCTCTGGAGGCAATTGGGGTTAACTGACTCGCCAGGGTCACAGAGCTAGTAAGTGTCTGAGGTCAAATTTGAACTCAGATCTTCCTGACTCCAGGCCCATTGCTCTATCACTGCATCACTGAGCTGCTTCAATAACAGCTATTATATTAATATTATTATATAGTAGATATTTCATAAATGCCATTTCACTCAACACCATGTTAAGACTGGGGCTATAAAAAGACAAAAATGTAATCGCTCCCGTCTTCAGGAGTCTTATATTCTAGTGGTGACCACTATATACTATGTGCACAGATAAGTCCATACAAGGTCTTCCCTTTCTATTACATAATAACAATAAAAACTCATAGTTGTATCATGCTTGAAGGATCTTGGGACCATAGAGTCAGGGCTAGAAGGGATCTGGGAGGTCATTAGGTCAGTGTCCCTTATTAAAGATAAAGAATTGTGGCCAGAGCAGTCTAGAGATTTGCCTAAGGTCACATAGCAGAGGTAGCCCCCAAATCAAGACCCCTTGACTCCCGATCGAGGCTTTTCTCACAATAAGCATGTAAGGGATGCAATAAGGTATTATTCTCCCCATTTTACAGATGAGGAAACTGGGAATCAGAAGGGAAAAGTGATTTGCCTAAGGACACATTTCCAATAAGTGTTAAGAGTCTTTTCCAAAACCTAAATCTGTCCCTACCCTAAATCCTGAGGTTTCCTCGAGCTGCACTGAGTTGGGGGGTGGGGTGGAGAGGAGATAAAACAGAGCTATTATTATTTGAAAGTTATTAATAAAAATACCTTTCAAGGCCAGGGTATGATTGCTAAACTTAAATTTGAGCAATTTAATTGTTCATTGAAAGGAACTGCAATCCTCTCGCTGAGGATTTCTCTTTTAGAGCCACTATGTGTGAAATTGAAATCTAAAGATATCACTCCAAATATTCATCTTCTCTAGGGAAGTTTTCCCCCAAGAGTTGGGGAAGATAAGGAGCTGGCCCAAAGTTATTTGCAGTCTCTCTCTGTCTCTGTCTCTTTTTCTCTCTGTCTCTGTCTCTGTCTCTCTCTGTCTCTCTGTCTCTGTCTCTGTCTCTCTCTCTCTGTCTCTCTGTCTCTGTCTCTGTCTCTGTCTCTGTCTCTGTCTCTCTCTCTCTCTCTCTCTCTCTCTCTCTGTCTGTCTGTCTGTCTCTCTTCTCTCTCTCTCTCTCTCTCTCTCTCTCTCTCTCTCTCTCTCTTCTCTCATTGCACACTTAGGCCATAGTTGAAAGCATGCTGGTGAAAAAGAAACTTTATGGAAAAAAAAAAGTTGGCCATGGTATTCCCATCTAGAAGATTTTACATTCTGGAATCCAAAGATCTATTTCTTTTCATGACTGATACTTGCCCCAATTCAGAATTAAAGCATGTAAGCCAATAACTGGCTTGTTATCAGGTTTAATTAGAGCAAAGAAATGCAAACATACTCTCTGCGCACAGAGATAATAAACATTAATATGTTGTAAAATTCTTCTTTAGAAAATTCTTAGCTTGTCCATGATTTTTTTAAAAAAGGATTTATTTTCTTAAGGAAATTGCGAAAGCCTTTATTTTAATCCTCACTTCACTTTGCAATTGACTTCCCAATCTCTCCAATCCTCTGAATTATAAAACAGTTAGGACCTGGACCCCTGTGAATTTTATTCTCCTTCCTGATTGTACAGTGATTATGTATTGACATTAAATATTTATCACATAATTCAGGCTGCCTGAGAAAGTCTGGGAGGCTTTTCCCATTAAAAGGAAGTGTCTGAGCACAAGAATGTCTTTTTATATTAATAACTTAAAAATATATAGTGAAGGGTGTGGATACAAAGTGGCTCCTTTAGCTGTCTCCTGACTCCAGAAAAAATACATTTAGTTAATATTGTCAGGGACCCAGTTCTTCGGCAAGAAGGTCAGAGAATCATAGGAGGGATAAAAATATGCATTGTAGTCCAGGGATTAGGCTTGACATTGTAGTGGGGATTGGCCTCTGGACCCACAGCCCTGAAAGGTACAAGCATTTGATTTCTCTTTTCAACAACCAGTTGTCAGTAAACATTTATTAAGCACCTACTGTGTACCAGGCACTGTGCTAAGTGCTGGAGATAACAAAAGGAGGCAAAAAATAATGCTTGCCCTCAAAGAGTTTACAATCTAATGGGGGGGGTGCAGAGGAAGCAAGCAAATAAATATGTACCAAAAAGCTGCATACAAAATAATGATTTTTTTTCTCTTTCTTTTCAAATTCTCTGTTTTAAGGGATGGCTTACTAGGTAGGGGAAGAACAAGGGATGTACACAGAAATAAGAGTAATGTAAAAACAAGATATCAGTAGAATTATTTTTTAAAGGAACAGTGAGTTCCTCCCTGAATTTCTTTTCTGGTAGCAAATGGATATAGTGCAATAGGCATAACTTGGGATTTAAAATAAGAAGACCTGGATTCGAATCCTGACTTTGGGCCTCAGTTTCCTCATCTGGAAATTGAGGGAATTGGCCAACTTAGCATCTGAGGTCCCTTCCAGCTCTTTAAATCTATCATTTTCTATACTCCCATGTCAGGAAGCATGAATTTAGGGCTGGAAGGAGCTATAGAGATTAAGTCCATTTTACAGACGAAGAAACTGACACCCAGGGATGAGGAGCTACTTGTCCAAAGTAACTGGGTTAGTGACTAGCACAGCCCTCATTCTACTACAAATCAAGCTTTCTCTAAAACCCTACTGCCTAGGGCCCTTAATACATGCTTTTTTAAAAAAAGTTTAGAAATGCTTTTTAATGAGGCTGTTTCTAAGGCAATTTGAGTTCCGTGGAAACAGAGTACTTGGTAAGTATGAATCCCCCTGCCCTGCCCTTTCTATTTCTGCCTTTGAAGGTGAATGTAAAATAGCCAGAAAATCAAAACATCTTATTTGGCTTCTTCCGGATGCCTGGGGGAAAAGGCAAAAGAATCTTCCTGTTATTACTTATTAATTCAGGGCAGCATATTTGCACAGTTATTTACTGGCTATTTATAAGTGAACAGGTTAAACCACTGGATCGGTTCATCATTTTCAAGGAGGGGAGACAGAGGAGGTGGATGGGGAGAGCCCTGCACAGGCTCTGAGATATCTCCCTCCCCCGCCCCTACTGTGGTCCCTAGCACTGCACAGCGGTGCCTAAACTGACCCATCCCCAATACCTGGACAAGCCTCCCTTTCATCCTTAACGCCTGTGACCTGTACTCCTTACAGGCTGACTGTGTGGCTAGAAATAATGCCGAAGATCCTAGACGCAAAAGTGCAAGAGGCCAATTAACCCTAACTCTAACCTTCGTTTGAGAAAAGAGGAAATTGAGGTCCTTGTCCTCCTCATTTGACAGTCGAGGAAAGTGGAGACCAGGGAAATTAATAGACTTGCCCAAGGTAATACAAGTAGAAAATATCTAAGGCAGAATTTGGTCCCAAGTCTTGTAGATCTAGCCGACTGCCCTAAACATAGAAACAGATCCCTGCAAATCATACATTGACTTAGAAAACCACAAATTAACATTATCCAGGTTGTATTGTATTTTTGTTTGGTTAAACATCTCTCAATTATATTTTAATCTATTTCAAGCTTCTGGATTGTTTGACACCTCTGCAACTCCAAACTAGGATCTAAGGAAGGCATCATGCATTCTCCCACCTCCACACCTTTGCTCATTTGTTATCCCTGACAAGACTTCGGACTCCACAATCCAGGCTCTTTCCCTTGTGTCTCCCACTGCCTCAGCTGATCTGCCACGGTGGATTTGGGATCGGAGACCCTGGTTTGGGATCCCATCTATATTACTTAATTTGTGACTTTGGGAGAATCACTCCATCTCTCTGTGAAATGAAGGAATTGAACTAAACTAGCCCTGAGCTCCCTCCATGCTCTAAACCTATGATCCAAAAAGTGGTCCCACTTCCGAACATTGTTATTTTTAACGTTCTTCTCTGGGACAAGCCTGTTTACTTTTAACCTTAGTTAAGAAAAAGGGAGGTAGGTAGGGGTGTATGAAGAAAATTCCCAAAGGATGATTTTGAGGCCACCTCTGTTCTTGGAGGGGAGGGCAATGCAGCGCCCAGACAGCCCCCCCAGCCCCGGCATTGGCCCCTTTAAGAAGCCAAGTCAGTCGTGATGCTGCTGTTGTTTGTATTGCTAATCCCCCCAGGAGCCCAGTTTTTTTTTTTTAAAGGGAAAAAGGAAAAGAAAAGAAATAAAACGGGCAGCTGTCTCTTTAAATGTGATTTCCTTCTATTGTATTTGAATCGTGATCAGGAAAAAGGAAATGAAACCAGAGACAGAGGGAGGCTGAGCAAAAAATAGACATTTCAGAGAGAAGGGGGGAGACACGCACACCCCCTCGACCCGCCCCCTCTCTCCTCCCTTCTCCTCCTCCTCCCTCTCCCCTCCCTCCCTCCTGCCCGCCCCATCACACACGCGCGCTCTGAAAGCCTGAGCCCAAGGTGTGCGGGGGACTCCGGGGCACAGGTTCGCAGCGGGAACAGGGACAGGAGCCGGAGCCGGAGCCGGAGCGGGAGCCGCAGCAGGGGCAGGAGGAAGCCCGAGCCCAGGCTGCCGCTGCCGCTGCCGCAGCCGCAGCCGCAGCAGCAGAAGCAGTCGGACCCGGAGGCAGAGGCGCAGGCGAGGCTCCCCGGGATGGAGGGTTAAGTCCCGGAGCCAGGATAGAGTGGAGCTACGCTGGGGGCCCCGGCAGGCAGGCAGGCAGGCAGAGCGAGCCCCGCACCCTATCCCATCCTGTCCCATCCCATCCCCAGGCCCCGCACCCCGCCTGACCTCCCCTCCGCCCCCCACTCCGGGGGATTCGCCCTCGTTCGCTCTCTGTCCCTGGCGCTGCGAGGGAGCCCGTGAATGTCATTGAGGGCGGAGGGGAGAGTCAGCCGGTGAGCAGCCGCGGCAGCAGAGCTGCTCGAGAAGGGGCAGAAGGAGGAGGACCAGGACCCGAGGGGGTGCCGAGCCGCCCGCCCGGCCCTGCGCGACAAAGGAGCCCCCCACCCCCACCCCCAGCAGCGCGCCACCCCCTTCGCCAATGTCCTCGGCCATCGAGAGGAAGAGCCTGGACCCGTCCGAGTAAGTGGCCTCTCCGTACTCCAGCCTTCGAGCCGTCCAGGGGGTGGGGGTGGGGGCGCGGGTATGTATGGACGTGCTGCGCCCAGGACCTCTTGTATCCCGTGGGGATGGAGAGGGAGGGGCTTGATCCAAGAGGGGCTTCTGGTGATCGCCCGCTGCGCGCCTCCGTGAACTTGGCCTCCCAACTGGCTAGCCCGCCTTTCCCTGGGGCTGCCCATCCCCTCCCCCCACGAGGGGGCCCCTCCAGTGGGGAGGATTAGGCGTCCCAGTCGCTTGCGTGGCCCTGCCCCTGGGGGAATGGGAACCCCCTGCGGAATGAGTAGATATCCCTTGGCTGGATGGGGTGAGAGGAGCCCAGGTTGGGATTCTAACCAGGGTCCCATTGCCCCACGCCGGGCTCAGCCCGAGCGGAGCCGAAGGTCAAGAACGGACCGATGCTCAACTTGTGCTTATTCCCGGAGCGAGGTGTGCCGGCCAACTTTGCTGTGAGCTCAGCCGGGCTTGGGCGTGCAGGTGGAAGAGGGCAAGAAGGCTCCGGGAGTTGAGGGACGGCGCCAGTCTCTCTTTCCTGCCCCTCTTCTTTCTCCCTCTTTCCGCTGAAAATAGTGTAATTCCGAGTGGGTCCCAAAGCTTGCTTCTCTCTTCCCCTGCCGCAGGAGGAGAGGGACTCTAGCAGCTTCGTGCTATGAGAGGAAACAATGGTGTTAGAAATGTCTCTGGGCTCCCTGGACAGTTAGAGGCTAACAGGCTATCTCTGACGTCTACAAGCATTGAGAGGCCAGAGGTGTCTTGAAAGACGGGTGTCTTCAAAGCTCCTGCTTTAAATATTGGTTTGTGTTTTTTGGGGGAGGTAGGTAGGGAAGAAGGGACCATTGGGGTTATCTGTGAAGGAGGGGGAAAAAAAACCCTTTTTCCTTAAACTAATTTTAAAATGCATTAGCTGCCAAATTTGGAGACTTTTTTTACTCCCTTGAAGCCCACGTAGGCTAATCTGTTGAAAGGATTCCTTACACACCACTGAAGGGGTCAGTTAAATGAGAGATCCACTTGTGCTTTCTGAAGCTTTTGTTTTCCTTTTTCATTTATCGGAGCTATTTGAAATAATTGGACTTTCCAGCCTGAAGTATTTTTTCATTCGCATTGTTTGCCTGGGCCTTATCCTGAGATAGAGGATATAAAAGCCCATTGCTAGTCTCATAAAACACCGGAAGGGCTCCTAATAGAATAAGAGTATGTAAATATCGCAATGCAGTTTTGAAGGTCAAGACCCGAGCTCCAAAGTAGAGAGGTTTGTGATCATTTTCTTCAAATAAATTCCCCTGGAGTGGTTGGGTAGAGATGGGGGCAAATCTATGCTTAGAAACAGAAATTATGTCTACTTGATGCATTTAAAGGGTTGTTGACTCTTATGAAAATCTCAAAGTATATCTTGGCATAAAAATACCCTGTAGTTGGGGTTTTTTTCTTGCTGTGGTCAATTCAACTCAATAAACATGTATTAAGCCCCTGCTGTGTGCAAGAGACCATGAGGAAAGACTGCAAAGCAGAATACTATAGGTTTGTCAGTCAATACCTAATGCCACTGCGGTTAGTAAGCCCTTCATTCACTACTCCTTTTATTAGCCGATAAATTGGGAGGGATCAGTATTCTTAAGGATAAATATTAGATATTTGTTCTTTGGAAACTTTGAATTCTAGACAAAGATTGAAAACCTGACACCTCTGTTATGCCATAAATGTTGTTGACTTACTAACTCCATTCCCTGGGTCATTCTCCTTTCTGCCCCCCCCCCCAGGGCATTTCAGGCCCAGCCAATTGTGAAATGGCCAGTCGATACATAATTTGTCCTGGGTGTTGTCGATCAGAATCAAAAAAACCCAACAACAACAACAAAAAGAAATAGAAAACCTCAAGAAATGATCCAAGAAATCCAGGCTGGGTCTTTGAGTTAGAAAAGGGGCCAGCAGCTGTAATTGGCCACTTGCTGTGTAGAAGCCTGAAAACACTCTGGGAGCATTTAAAATATTCATTTGGGGGTGCTCCTACTTAGTCATTGCCTTGGAATTCTCACTAAACAGAACTCTGACTGTGGATAATGAGCTATTATAACACCAATTACAGTAAGAACTCTGTGAAATAGATGGCGGGATAATATCTCATCCTGTCCTGTCCGAGGCTATCTTATCTTAGGCCATCTTAATACTTGCTTTTGCTTAACATTTGAAAATGTAGACCACGTTCTTCTAAGATATTTAACTCCATACTTACAGGAGATTGGGTCATTTGTGGCAACTTCCCCATGTTGTAGATAGATAAAAGCCTTCTGAGCTTCCTTGAGTCGGGCCAATTAATCAGAAGCAAACTTCTGGAAGGCAGGGGCAGTTTTTCCATTCCATTCTTTATCCCCATCTTACAGGCTTTTTTTCCCCCTTGACACTTAGGATTTCCTTGATTAAGAACTCCCAGTGATAAAACTCCCTTTTTAAAAGAAAAGGGGTACCTGCTTTCCAGTTTATAGTCCTAGAGGTTTGCCTGGGGGGGTGGGCACTGAAAGGTTAAATTCTTTGCCCAAGGTCATACAGCCAGTACCTATATGTCACAGGCAGTCCGACCTGAACTCAGGTCTTCCTGACTCTCTCTATTAAATGAGGCTGCCTTGGACTTAGTAGACATTTAATAAATGTGAAGTGTTTTAGGCTTTTTTTGGCATGAAGTTGTTATCTAGCCTTCCCTTCACTCCCTTTCTCACCCCACCTTTCCTTAACTATTAACACATTTAGAAATGTTTACCATTCTGGGTAGTTGGACTGCTCAAGAGGTTGGCATTTAATATATAGCATAATAACCATGGGATCTCTTGTCAGTTCTTCCATCTGCTGGACTCCACTGCCTCTCTGTAAGCAATCTAAAGGCAATTCCATTTTCATTCCAGTCAGTTGGCATCAGCTGAGCATGAATTCTTCTCTTTCATAGTTGATTGGGTGGTTGTGTCATCCACAGCCATTCAGAGAAACAGGTTTAAAAGGTGCCACATACATCTTGGAAGCCCCCAAAAAGGAAGAGGTGAGAGGGAATTCTGTGTGGATGGCTGTGAAAATCAATCAATAAACATTTATTAAGTGCCTGCTGTTGCCAGGCACTGTGCTAAGTGCTGGAGACATCTGGATGAAGACATCTGGAATATTAATCATTTTTTCAGGAAAGGGGAAGTCAAAGCCCTCATGCTAAATTACTGTCATTCACCTCTGTGGAAACAAAGGAAAAACAGCAGTGTTCGGCTGCCATGACTTCTTAAAACCATTTTAAGAGTTCTGTTGTTTGTTTGTTTGTTAAACAGTCTTAGGTTTCAGATTATGATGTGCCCTTGTGACAATCTATACTGTTTACAGCTGTTGAAGGTAGCTATGTCTTTCCACTGCATGCTGGGTGGGCACTTTCACAATAGTATACACTCATGAGACAGAAACACACATACCCCTAAACACATTTTATGGTTGGACAAATTGGGACACGGAATGGTTGGTCCACAAAACTGGGAGACTGAGATTAGCCTCCTTAAGTAAGTGGAGGGGAATTCACTTTGGGAATTGGGCAGTTACAAACTGAGCCTATTTTAAAAGCTTAATAGGTTTTTAAAAATGTGATTTGGGCCCCAGAGAGGGTCCAAAGAACACTCTGTAAAGAGGTCATGTCAACAAGCGTTTAAATAGACCATAGACCACACCTACTCTGTTGTCCAGTGGTACTAGGAGCCCTCCACTCTTTTTTTTCCTGAAATAGATCAGTTTTGTTGTAGAAGGTACTTCCACGGTGTCTGGCACATGGTAGACCCTTAGTAAATACTTGTCTATTAGTTGGTAGTCTTCAACTGAACATTTTTGAAGCATTCACTAGTGGCTCAATGCTGTCCTAGGTCTCTAGGGATTCAATTAAAAACAAAAAATAAGCTCTACCATTGAGTTGGGGTACAAAATGTATATAGATCAGCACATAGAAGCTAACTTCAAGAGAGAGCAATTTGTCTGACTTTCATCATGTTCTATAGTCTGAAGATTTTGGTATGACCTTTGTAAGGTTGAGAGGGCTCGTAAAATATGGGAAGAAGCATGTAATTAAGTACCTGCTATGTGCTAGGCACTGAACAAAACGCTTTACTAATATTGTCTCATTTGGGAAGGGAGAATGTCTAAGTGGCGATGGATGAAACCAAGAGTGATACAATTTTAAATATGAAAGCAGCCTTTCCTTATCTCATCCTCTCTCCTTTCCTCACCTTCCCTCCTCTGCCCGCCATGACGTTGGGGCATTTAACTATTCATGCATTTTCAAACGTTTACTCTCTTCTCGAGGAGATCGCCTCTCTTTTAGACTAGTACGATGGAAAGAGTGCTGGATTTGGACATGGAGAGTCTGGGTTCAAATCCCTTCTTTGACACTACCTGGGTGTCAAGTTGCCCAACTTCTTGGGGCCCCAGTTCCCTCATCTGGAAAATAAGGACTTTGGACTTGGATTATCTCTAAGGCCCCTTCCCACTCTAAATCTACGATCATAGGAGTCTTGAGTGCTATCCGTTTGTACCAAGCAGTGCCCATGGAGGTCCCTTGTATACTTATGACATAAATAGGGTAGGAGGTAAGATAAAGAAAGAGAGTGAGAGGGAAGGAGGAGAAGGGGAGAGATACAGGAAAAAGAGTTGGAAAAAAGTAGGGAAGTGTGGATGGTGGGCACCATTGGCGTGCCACCAATGTTGCCAAAAGGCGCTGTTTGGTCACTTTCCCAGGGATTGCTCTTGGTTTAATATGTAACTCCCCCAAACAAAACGAAAGAAAACAAACTAAAGATTCTCGATCCCTCTGCCCTGCCAGTTTATCAAGAAATGTGTTTTCCAACCTTTCCTCTTGAATACTCCAATACTCAACATTTAAATGGATCTCATTAGTGGTGTGGTCAATCCAATGTAGCTGAGATATATCCAGACCACTCCATCCATTCGCCTTAGACTCACCTGAAAAAGAAAGTAAAATCTGCATGTTTTGTCCTTGGATGGAATTCTGCTCATCCTGGAAATAGTTCCCATGCCAGGCAGACCAATCAGCCGCTGCTGGTTTCAGAGGGGCAGAGCAAGTATGCAGTTCATACTATGCCCAAATGGCTATAAAACTGTGCATACCCTTTGATCCAGCAAGACCACTTCTAGGTCTGTATCCCAAAGAGATGATAAAAAAGGGAAAAGGATCCACATGTACAAAAATTATTTATAGCAGCTCTGTATGTGGTGGCAAAGAATTGGAAATTGAGGGGATGCCCATCGCTTGGGGAATGGCTGGACAACTTGTGGTATATGAATGTAATGGAATACTATTGTACTATAAGAAATGATGAGCAGGCAAATTTCAGAAAAACCTAGACTTATGTAAACTGATGCCGAGTGAAGTGAGCAGAACCAGAGAACATTGTACATAATAACAGCAACATTGTTCGATGATCAACTATGATAGACTTAGCTCTTCTCAACTATACAATGATCCAAGACAATTCTAAAAGACTTATAATGGGAAATGCTATCCACATCCGGAGAAAGAACTATGGAGTCTGAATGCAGATCAAAGCATATTATTTTGACTTTGGTTTTTTTGTTTTTTCTTTGTCATGTTTTTTTTCCCTTTTGTTCTAATTCTTTCACAACATGACTAATGTGGAAATATGTTTAACATGATTGTACACGTATAACCTATAACAGATTGTTTGCTGTCTCAGGGAAGGAGGAGGGGAAGGAGGGAGAGAAAAAATTTGGAACTCAAAATCTTACAAAAATGAATGTTGAAAACTATCTTTACATGTAATTGGAAAAAACAGAATACTATCAAGTGCAAAAAGAGGAAGATATGGACTAGTTCAAAATGTTATAAAATTGTGTGTGTGTGTGTGTGTGTATAATTAAGATTTTTCTTTAAAGACTTGAATTGAGAGTTCCAACTACCAAAAAACCGTGTGAAGTTTCATTTGCAAAAGCAAAATGGCACATCTGAAACATTTTTTACTTGATTTGATGATAATAATACAATCACTCAGAAGATAAAGGTCAGAAAAAGAACTATCACTCTGGTTCCATTCAAGTTTTTAGTTTGTATAGGTCCTGGTCAAATCTCATGGCCAGATGGTTTGCCTAAACTACCGTTACCCTCAACCATGTTTCACTGTGAAATTATTTTCTGATTATTATTCATACATAGGTAATTACTTTATGTTTCATTAGGAGAGTTTTACTTTTTAGTTAGCTTTTGACTAAGCTTTGAAAAGTCAACTAATTCATGACAAATAGTTCTTTGTAAACTCTATTACTCATCCTATTTCTTTTCATTTGTTGAATTTATTCAAATCTGTATTGTCTGCTATACCTCCATGTACGACCAGAATTTTTTCATCAGAGTGCCAGTTGGAATCCAGGTATAAATGTCTTCCAGAGAGTGCAAAAGTTTTGCACCGTATTGCTAGAAATAAGCAGTTTGAGTACATTTAAAAAAATATGCTGTTCACAAATCACACTCATCCTTTCTAGGGAGCCAGTGGACGAGGTGCTACAGATCCCGCCATCCCTGCTGACATGTGGTGGCTGCCAGCAAAACATAGGGGACCGATACTTCTTAAAGGCCATCGATCAGTACTGGCATGAGGACTGCCTCAGCTGTGACCTTTGCGGGTGCCGCCTGGGGGAAGTGGGGCGTCGCTTGTACTACAAGCTGGGCCGGAAGCTCTGCAGGAGAGACTATCTCAGGTAAGGCTCTGTGGCCTGGGGGGCCAATTCTTCTTTTTCCTCCTCCTCTTTCTCCTCTTTCTCCTCCTCCTCCTCCTGAGATTCCCCCAGTAGGCAGCCAGGGCCTTCAGTGAACTTGTACCTTTCTCTAGCATCCAATCACCTGGATCCTTTTGTGTGCTAATGATAAAGTCCATCTGCCCAGTCTGATCCCCAAAAGTCAAATACAAGAAGAAGGCTTAAAAACGCTTCGTGTTTAGGTAGCAAGTTGATGTCACAGAAGTTCATTTTACTTGACATATCTCTTCCATCTGACCCTCAGGAGGCTGGCACAAGGGAGGCAGATAGAACAGTAAACTTGCAGTAACCAGATGTGGGTTCGAATCCCACTTCAACCCCTTGTGGCTATGGCAAGTCTCTGAGCCTCAGTTTACTCATCTGTAAAATGAGGCTGATAGTAACTGGCACTTTCATGTCTCAAATGAGGTAATATACGTACAGTGCTTTGCAAACCTTAAAGATCTATATAAATGTCCCTGATGGTGCTGATATCGCAGGGGAATAATATTAATATCATAAGTTTAGAGAAAGAAGGTATCTTCAGAGTCCATGAATTTGGATGGAAAAAAACCAAACCATCCTTCTTTTCACTAACCTTTAGGTTTCCTTTGCAGTCCTCTGCATTTTAGAGCCCTGAGTTGGGTTTGTTTGCTTGTTTTTTTTTTTAAAGAAAGACATTCTGAAAAGGCTTTACCAAGGGCCCCCCCCCACTAAAGGTTAAAAAGCCCTGGGGCAGCTAGGTGGTGCAGTGGATAGAGCACAGGCCCTGAAGTCAGGAGTACCTGAGTTCAAATCCAGCCTCAGAGCAAACACTTGACACTTACTAGCTGTGTGACCCTGGGCAAGTCACTTAACCCCAATTGCCAAAAAAAAAGAAAAGGTTAAAAAGCCCTGCCCTAACTGACTTGCCCAGGGTCACACAGCCAGTAAAGAGTCCTGTTTTTAAACATATATTAAAAAAAGATAAATGACTACAAAGGAAATCGAAAGTTAGTGAAAATAAAGATGTTATTTTTTTCCCATTCAGGTTTACAGACCCCCTGAAATCTGTCCATAGACCCACTGGGGTCCATGGACCCCGAGTTAAGAACCATTGTTTCTTATTACCCAGTCAGCTAGGTGGGGCAGTTGTCAAGAAGACCTGAGTTTAAACCCTACCTCAGGTACTCACTAGCTGGGTGGCCCTGGGCCAATTGCTTTTTCTCTTTCAGCCTTAGTTTTTTAATCTGTAAATTGGGGATAATAATAGCATCTACTTCACAAAGGTGCTGTGAGTGTCGGTTGAGAAAACAAATGTAAAGCACTTTGTAAACCTGAAAGCTCTATATAAATGCTGTCATTATTATTATTATTATTATTTTGTCTTCCTGGTTCTGTTAACTTCACCTTGCATCAGTTCGCATAAGTTTTCTCATCCTTCACCATATTCACCAACGATCATTTATTAAGCCCCTATTATGTATGTGTAAAGTACTTTGGGAGGTAATTTAAAGATGAAATGAAAAATGAACCCTACCCTACATAAGCTTACATCCCATTAGGGTTGAGATCCTAAAAGCCCTATAGTCAGTTTGCCAGGTCATTGATGGAAGTAAAAATGGAAATCATTCCCATTGGGGTCCCTGATTTCATTTCTGTTCAATTGTCTGGATCTTAAGTGATTCTTATAGAGAGAGGTCAGAAGGTCCAATTCCCCCACTCCCACCCCTGGTTCTATGATTTTGTATGATTCTCTAAAATAAACCCAGTGCTGTTTATGTTATGAGGTTTCTTATTTTCTATTTTGAAAAATGAGAGGAAAAACAGGCTATGAGATCCCAAAGTTAATTAACTCGTGTCTCAGTGACATGAAATAATTCCCCCCCCCATTTTTCCAGGTAACACGTTAATTAACTATGTGTTAGTTCAGGCTTTTCTAGCCATCATTTAATATTGAAATTATCATCATTAAAATGAGCAACTGAGAGCTTTAGCAGAGCCATTGCCTGACAGAGGCAAGAGAAACTATTTAATTTTCCTTCTGAGATGATAATAGAGCCATAGACTGTCGAGCTTGGGTTTTGCTTTATGGACCCAGCAGTGGGTTTGGTTAAAGGAAACATCTAGAAAATGACAAAATGATCACTTGGGAATAGCCTTGGCCATCCTTTCCTTTAAGACGGACATTCTGAACCTGGAGAGATTTCAAAGGGTTCATGAACTTGGACAGGAAAAAGAAAACTATATCTATTTTCACTAACTTCTAACTCAAAGTTAGCATTGAAAATTTTTTTTTAAGAAAACCCTCATTGTGAGAAGAGGTCTGTAGGCTTCTCCAGACTGCCAAAGGGGTTTCGACACACAAAAAGTTAAGAGCCTTTTCTGTAGAGGAAACCTGTCCCTGAAACAATGCTAATTTGCAGCAGGATCTAGACAAGTGGAGGCAGTGTGGTACATTGGAAAGAACCCTGGCTCTGGAGTCAAAGGACCTGTGTTTAAATCCTACCTTTTAAACTTACTACCTTTGTGACCTTGGGCAAGTCACTTTCTCTCTGGGCCTCAGTTTCCCCATCTGTAAAATAATTGAGTTGGATTAGATGTCCTCCAAGGTTCCTTCCACGTTTTGTCTATAAGCCTAAATCGCTTCCCTTCCATAGGCCTAAGTAAAATGAGGAGGTTAGATTACGTGACCTCCAAAGTCCCTCTCATCTCCAGAGCTAGCCTCCTATAAACTCTTCTTCATGTGAAACATCCGCTGGAATTTAAGGCAGAACTTTAGAAATAGCTCCAACAGCTGCCATGGCCTGTACTCACTCCTTGCCATGGTTTTCCCTTCCTAATACCAATTGAGCCCAGTCCCGGGGCAGGGGGTGGGGGGTGGGGTACAGGAGCAGCTGCCCTTCTTCACACCCCCTCCCCCAGATCGATTTCTCCTAAGGCACTTAGTGGGATGTTTTGGGATGAATGAATGAATGGACAACAAAGCTCCTGATGCCAGAGGCTGACTAACTCTCGTTTCAAGTTTTTAGCCCTGGCACAAAGGGATTTGATTATTGTTACCTGTTGAAATCTGCCCCTAAACTTCTTGAGTAACTCTTCACTCACCCTCAAGTGTTTGAGGCTCCAGTCAGATGGGGACAACTGTGTCTTTGTGCTGTCACTGTGGCCCAAGCTAGATGGCTTGAGATGTCCAACAGTGCCTCCTTCCATTCTTGGCATTAGGACTAAGGCAAGCCAGTTCCTTCTTCTGGCCAACTGACATAGTTCTTCCTCCCAGATCAGCACAGTTGCTATGAGGTGGTTTTCTCATTGCCGTGGGAGAGCGCCTAATGAACATTGAGGTGCAGGTGCCAACCTGAGGGGGGACTGGTCCAGAACATTGAGGCCTTTGCTTAACAACATACTTCATGGATTTTGTTAATTTTTGCCAGGATGCTTTCTGCACTTTAGGCTTAAACAGAACCAGTTCAATCCCTCTTCCATATGACAATCCTTCAGATACTTAAATATAACTCACCTTCTCTCTCCCTTTACCCCCACTTCTACTCAAGTCTTCTCTTGGTCCAAGCTAAACCTCCCCAGTTCATATGGCATGAATTCAAGGCCCTTTACTACCATGGATGCCCTCTGGGCACTTTTCAGCCTATTCATGTCCTTCCTAAAATGGAGTACCCAGAGGGACGATGGAGCTAATTTTATTCCTGTAAGTTGAACCTCTCAACGAAGCCTTATTAAAAGTCATTCAGCAAGACGGTGATGGAGTTGGGGACACAACTAAGATTTCTTGATTAAGAAGCCGATATAGGTCAGGTCCCATGGCAATGAATTCCAAGGAAACTCTTGGATCCTCTACTCTCATTGAATAGGTTAGTGACACTTTGAGAAAAACAGATTGCCAGATGTTAAAACAAGGGAGCACTTATTTGCTTAACCACAACATCTTTGCTTTACAAAGAGATTCATCGCAGAGGAGCAGTCCATTAGTGAACTCCTCCAAGACCTATAAACCTGGTAGAATGTACTCCTTGAAGGTGGCACTGTTTTTGTTTTTGTATCACCAATTACATAGGCAAGTCAAGTCAAGAAGAGTCAACAAGTCTTTGTTAGGAGCTGACTATGTGTCGGGCATTGTGCTAAGTGCTATAGATACAAAGAAAGGCAATGAGCTTACCGTCTAATGGGGGCCTTGGACCTAGAAGCCACTTGAATGAATGTTGAATTGGAATTATAATTAGGTTTGTAAAATAATTGGTTTACTTACATCTGCTTCTTGTGAGCAGGGCCTATTATTTGCTGTTCAGTTGTGTCTGACTCTTTGTGACCCCATTCAGGGTTTTCTTGGCAAAGATACTGGAGTGGCTTTCCATTTCCTTCTCCAGTTCATTTTACAGATAAGGAGACTGAGGCAAACAGGGTTAAAGTGACCTGCCTAGGATCATACAGCTAGTAAGTGTCTGAGGCTGGATTTGAACTAATGAAAATGAGTCTTCCTGGGCAGCTAGGTGGCGCAGTGGAGGCAGCACTGGCCCTGGAGTCAGGAAGACCTGAGTTCGAATCCGGCCTCAGACACTTGACACTAGCTTAAGTCATTTGATCCCAACTGCCAGAAAAGAAAGAAAAGAAAATGAGTCTTCCTGACTCCAAACTCAGTACTTTATTCAGTATGCCACCTAGCTGCCCCTGGCACATATTAGGCACTTAATAAATGCTTATTGACTTGACTGCATGGTTACCAGGATATGGTTGAAAGGAGCAATGGGTTCAAATCCTGGTACTCCTGCTTTCTACCTTTGTAATCTTAGGCTTCTGGTTGTTTAACTTGTGTGTCTTAGTTTTCTCATCTATAAAATGGGAGGAATATAAAGATGATCTCTGAGGTTTCTTCCAGCTCTACATCCTATTGTATAAAGTGAGTCAAACCCAAATTGGAATTTTGTTACATTGGCTTGAAATAAGTGACGCTTTCATCACAGTGGAATCTGACCTGCAGATGTATAGCTTCATTTAAATGTCCAAGGAGATATTTCCACTGGAACTTCCTGGCAAGGAAGAATGGACATTAGATCTCCCAATCTTCCACATCATTTGGAAAGCTGATGTTTTTTTCCACACTTCTGTCTAAACAAACCTGATTAACTGGAGCTGGTTTTTTCTGTTGAATTTCTTTTTATTCCCCACCAGAATTAGGTGACTCTCGAGTTGAGTTTAGTGATTTGTGAAATGACCCAAGGCCAATCTTGCCCTCTGATAAAATACAATCTTAGACATCCTTCCGCACCAACTCCTGCCTAAAATTATTTCCCCTACCCACTATTGCAGGTTAGAGATTTATTCCTTTGGGTTGAACATTTCTCTCTTTTTCTAATGCAAACACCCCTGAGTGAATGAGGGTGGAAATATTTATATTTCTATAGTGCTTTAAAGTTTACATTCCTTCATTTGATCTGTAACAACCCTATGGATATTTATTATTCCCACTTTACAGATAAGGAGATTAAGGCTTAGGACAACTCCTAAGTGTCAGGGGCCACATTCAGACCAGCTCTCTCCTTACTCCCAAGTTCACCTTCTTTTCCCACTGTATCAAGCTGCCTCTCTCTCTCTCTCTCTCATTACCATATTAAATCTCTGACATCTTAGTATGAACCAAGAATCCACCAATCATCTCCTGAAAGAGATTCCAAAATGAAAACTCCCAGGAATACTATAGTCAAATTCCAGAGCTCCTGGGTCAAGAAGAAATTATTGCAAGCAGCCATCCTGGTATGAACCAGCATAGCAAATGTTTTCCTCCAGGGTGGAGAGGCCTGGGACAATATATGAGGATGCTCACTGGGTAACAGAGAGCTGAAAGGGAGAGGAGACAGAGGGCTTCGTAACAATTTCCTAGACTCTCTAATTTTGTTATGATGACCCTGTGTGAAGGAAAGGTAACCTCCGTATTTCTAAGAAAAATCGGTCACCCTTGGGAAGCTCTTCACAATGACTAGCCCAGTAGGATTCTCCCAAGCTGCTCTGAGAAGATTGCCCTGACCCATCCCCAAGCCTTTATTATCCCAGGGTTTCTTTTGCCTCCTTAACACTTTGTTATTATGTGTTTGGGGGCTCTTCCCTCCTTCCCTCAGGCTTTTTGGCCAAGACGGCCTCTGCGCTTCCTGTGACAAGCGGATCCGGGCCTACGAGATGACCATGCGTGTGAAGGAGAAAGTGTACCACCTGGAGTGTTTCAAGTGTGCGGCCTGTCAGAAGCACTTTTGTGTTGGCGACAGGTATCTCCTGGTCAACTCAGACATAGTGTGCGAACAGGACATCTACGAATGGACCAAAATCAACGGCGTGATCTAGGCAAGAGGCCAGAGTCTCTGGCCGGCGCTTTGCTGATGACACAAACCGACAGTCTCGATAGGAAGGGGACGGGGAGGGGGGCCGCTGAGCTATGCACTCTGGGTAATAGGGGTGGGGTGGGGTAGCTTCTTTAGGGATGGAACCATAGGCCCTTATCAGGCAGCCCAGCATAGCATCAGAGTGAGCTGCATGGGAGCAAGGAACGCAGATTTAAACATGCTGACTCTTAGAATTTCTAGCGGAAGTCTACTGGTAATAACTGACATTATTAGCTGAGGTGTGGGGAGGTTGGGTGGGGGGCAGATAATGGGATCTTATACCTGCAGATAGTGAGTTATCTGTATAAAAAGTTGTCCTGACTTTGACACTTGCAAATGAGAAACGTGCAATTGGTTGCTTATGTTTCTTCCCTGGGGCTTTTCCAGTGACCCCGTTTAGATCCCTGTTCTTCACACTGGGGGAGGACGAAGGAAGAAAAGAGTGGCCATCCCTTTTCTTGGCCATTTTCCCAAGGCCTTAAGCTTTGGACGTATGGGAAACGCATTTGCATGGGGACATGTTTCAGTTGGGAATGTTCATTGCAACTTTTAACCACAACCCTTCCCTAAATATAGATAAAATGCTGGTGAACCACTGTTTTTAGACACCTCTGTTCAAGGTGAAGGATTTCACAGATTGTTTCTATACAAATGTAAATCTAAGCAGAGTTGTTCAACTATTTTATTATCTTAGATTATATCGATAAAGTATTTGTTGTGTGTAGTAAAACCCTGCAGATTTAATAAAAATGACAGACTGAGACGCTGCGTCATTTCTTCAGATGATATCTTAGTTTGAAGTAACAGTTCAATTCCATGTCATTTATTAGCCGAACCCAGGTCTTTCTAGATTGCCACACCACAGCTACTTCTCACAAAATACAGTTATCCCTTCCACGTTGCAACTTTTCCTATCGCATTTTTGAAATATGGCAGATTGGCATAAGAAATTAGATGGGAATTTTTGGGGGAGTTTTGCAGAAGCCACAGACCACACACAAAGGCCAGCAGATGACACAAAAAGTTTAGAAACTCAGAAGTACATAAAATCTAGGTATTATATAATATCAACCGAAATTTTACAGCAAGGTACTGTAAACGCCCCATAAAAGAAAATGAAAAAATTCAGACTTCTTCTCTGGTAAAAAGGGAGGGTCAAAAAATTTTACACAGATTTTTCCAGATCGCAGGGGCACTACACTTCTGACTCCTGCAATGTGGAAGAAATAATCATATATACAACTTGGAGGGGAGGAGGGTTTGGGAATCAAGGGCATTCTGCCATTCATATTTGCATACTTTGCAATATAGAGAAAGTTGGAAAGTGAACATGGCAGAATGGAAATAACACTTGGACTGGGCACCAGGAGACCTCAGTTTGAGTCCCAGCTCTGCCAGTAATAACCTGTGTGTCCTCTGGCAGATGACTTAATTTTTCAAGGCCTGGAAATCCTCATCAGCCACATTTGGCATCAGAATCAGAAAGACCTGGGTTCAAATCCCGCTTCTGACATGTACATACTGGTTGTGTGACCACGGATAATAAAAGTAAACATTCATAAAGTGCTTATGGTGCCAGGCATAGTGCTAAGTACAGGGGAAAGCAAAAAAAAAAAAAGACAAAAACAAGAAACCAACTTTGCCTTCAAGGAGTTCCCATTCTAATGGACAAGGCAGCTCTAAGGCAGAGTGGCATCAGGGTGAAGTGGGAAGAAGGCTGGGTTTGGCTTTAAATCCCAACTTTGCCTCCAGTGTGACTGGACAATCATTTAATTACTCTGGCCCTCAGTTTGCTCATCTATAAAATGGGGTGAGATTAGATGACCTCTCTGGTCCTTCTAGTTCTTAGTCTGTAATCCTATGAAGTTCCAGATGGATAGAGGGAATTGTACACACTGATGAAACCACAGGTCTGGACCCTCAGGAAAGAATGAACAAAAAACAAGAAAATAAACAAATGTCTTATTTGGTCCATTCCACTGGGACTTTCTCTTCCCATCAGAGTCTAGGCCAAGCAGACACATACCTATATTGTTAGCAATCACATAACAGGTCAACATTTAGCTCAAAGGGATGTAGTTTAATTAAATTGTTATTGTTAGGTGTTTATTATTGTCCTTGTATTGTAGAAAACATCTAAAAAAGCCAAAATCACTGCCCTTGGGAGCCAGTAACCTCGAAAGGACACAACTATATAAAATAAGGTTTCCTTTGGGAGGGAAGGTAATTACCCAGTTTGAAATGTGGCAAAGATGCTGAGTTTGACACTTCGATTTTCAGAGACAGGGATCTCGGAGTATTTTATTACAAGTGCTTAAAAGGACTTTAGTCGGAAGACTCATAAAGCAAGACACCTTCAGAGATGTTGACTGTGTAGCCTTTCACCTCAGGGCCTGGACAGTGCCCGTGGACTGATCCAGAGTGCCCCCTGCTGACCACTCATTCTGGCCTCTAGAGGGAGGACCTTGGTACCCTCCCTACAAGGCTGATTTCTTTCATAAGGTTATTGTTGGGAGGTAAGGAAGAATTTACATGCTTAATCACCAAAAAAAGAAAAATTAAATAAGCAACTTGTAAGGTACCAGTGTGATAAATGAACTATGAAATGCCGCCTTGAAAACTCCCAACCTCAACCAAGCTACTGATTAATCTTTTTCTCCGCAGGCAGAATAATTAGACAGCCAGGACTCTCTTAGTCTGCAAAATGCCGAAAATGGCCAGGAAGTTTGATGGTACAACGTGGCCTATTTAAAACAAAACTAATTTTCATGCATTCTGGCTCCCCAGAGAGGTGTATGCATATGGGGGATGGGAGAGACGGGAGGGTTAAATTGGCCCTTTCTCAAGTTAGGAAGGCAATCCATTAGGAGCAGTCTAATAGAGAGCACAACTCTGTTGAAGATAGAGATTGATTGTTGAATAATTATATATGGCATAGGTAGAGCTTGCTAAGTGCAGGCAAGTGTTTTAACAATTTCTCAGTTGTGCTGGGGCCATCTCAACAACTGGTTTGTGTGCCATCAACTGGAACAATTATATGCTGGTTAGATCCCACCACCTGCTTATTATTGAATTTTTTTTTATGAAGACATAGCCCAGATTAATTGCTGAAAAACATCAGCACGTGAAGATGCAGGTTACATGATGGTTGAAAACCTACAATTGAGTCTCCTATCACCCATGTGACCTTGGGCAAATGACCTTGCCGCTCTCTGCCTCAGTTTCCTCATCTGTGAAGTAGAGGTAATAGCACTTAACCACCCAGCATTGTTGTGAGGCTCAAATGAGATATTTGTAAAGTACTGTGCAAACCTTAAAGTGCTCTATAAATGTTAGATGCCATTATTACTATTACCTATGTCCTTGAACAATCCACTTCATCTATTTGGCCTTCAGTTTTTTGTAAAATGAGAGAGACTGGATTAGATGAATTAGGCTCCACACAGTTAGTGTTAAATATATATATATGTGTGTGTGTGTGTGTGTGTGTGTGTGTATGTGTGTGTATATATATATTTGTGTGTATATATGTGTATATATATGCATGTATGTGTGTGTGTGTGTGTGTGTGTGTGTATAACAATTTCCTCAACTGTAAAATGAGGGTAACAACACTTACCTTCCAGGATTGTTATAAAAACTGAATGAGATAGTATTTGCAAAGTGCTCAGTACAGTGCCTGGCACACAGTAATATTAATAATTAATAAACAATTTTCCTTCCCTTCCCAATATGACAAACTGCTTGATGTAGTACAGTGGTTGATTCTTAAATTTTTTTTTTTTTGCTCAAAGTACAGTTGGTTTTTTGTAGCTTTGCCATCAGAGAGGTGGGAGACTAGGGAATGTGAGTATGATTGCAAGTATGTGCTCCATACAATGCCTAGGTATAAGGAATAGAGTGATGGAGTTGAAGAAGATCTGGGTTCTAGTCCTGCCTCAGGCATTCCCTAGCTTTGATGACCCTGGGCTAGTCAATTAATCTCCTTGACCCTCAATTTCCTCATCTGTAAGATGAGAATTAGAATTAGAACAGCTGCTTTACACAGTCCTTCACAGATTTAGGACTGGAAGGGATTTGAGTGGTCATCTAGTCCAATCCCAAAAGAAAAATGACTTACTCAGGGTCACACAGGAATAAATTGCAGAGCTAAGATTGAATTCAGGGCACCTAACTCCAAATCAAACGCTTCTTCCATCGTATTATGCTTTTCAAGAGGTCAAAAGGTGGTTGGTGATGTAGGATTAGAGCTCAAGAGAGATTAGACCTTTCGTTTGGGAATCATCTGCATAGAGATGATAATTGAACCCGTGGGAGCTGAGGAGATCATCAAGTAAGGTAGTTAGAGGGAGAAGAGGAGGGGAGAGGATAGAGGAGAGGAAAGGAGAGGAGGGGAGAGGAGGAGAGGAGGGGAGGAGAGGGGAGAAGGGATAGGAAGGAAGGGAAGGAGAGAAGAGGAGAAGAGAGGAGAGGATGGAGGAGAGGAGGGGAGAAAAGGGGAGAAGGGAAGGGAGAAGGGAAGGAAAGGGAAAAGGGAAGGGAAGGGAAGGGAAGGGAGAAGGGAAGGGAAGGGAAGGGAAGGGAGAAGGGAAGGGAAGGGAAGGGAAGGGAAGGGAGAAGGGAAGGGGAGGGAAGGGAGAAGGGAAGGGGAGGGAAGGGAGAAGGGAAGGGAAGGGAAGGGAGAAGGGAAGGGAAGGGAAGGGAAGAGAGGAGAGGAGAGGAGAGGAGAGGAGAGGAGAGGAGAGGAGAGGAAGAGGAGAGGAGAGGAGAGGAGAGGAGAGGAAGAGGAGAGGAGAGGAGAGGAGAGGAGAGGAGAGAGGAGAGGAGAGGAGAGGAGAGGAGAGGAGAGGAGAGGAGAGCAGAGCAGAGCCCAGGATAGACCTTTGACCTCCAATCTTACATCATCAAATGCCAGTTGGACACTTTGAACTGGATGTCCCATAGATATCTCAAACTCAACATGTCCAAAGAAGAATTCATTCTCTTCCCCCAACAGTTCTCTGTTACCCAGGCACGAAACCTCAGTAACATTCTCAACTCCATGCTCACATGCATCCCCACACAGCCACTCACACAGCTGCCATCTTTATCAAGTGCAGGCTCTTATCACTTCACACCTGGACTACTGCAATAGCTTTCTGGCTGGTCTTTTGACTCAGTTTCTCCTCACTCCAGTCCATCCTTCAAAGTGATCTTCCTAAAGCACAGGTCTGTGTTGCACCACTCTATGCAACAAACTCCAGAGTCCTTTCCAGAATTAGATATAAAATCTATTTGTCTTTGAAAACCCTTCATGAGGGGCAGTTAGGTGGTGCAGTGGATAAAACACTGGCCCTGAAGACGTTAGGACCTGAGTTCAAATCTAGCCTCAGACCCTTAGTAGCTGTGTGACACTGGGCAAGTCACTTAACCCTGATTGCCTCAAAAAAATAAAAATAAAACCCTTCATAACTTGACCCTTTCTTATCTTTCCAGTCTTACCCATTTGCCTTCGTTCTGTTTCTAACACTTTGATACATCATCTCCCAGTTCCGTTCCTGGAATGCTCTCTCTCCTCATCTCTACTTCCTGGCTGCTCCCAAGACTCAGCTGCTTCCTTTTAAGATGACCTCCAATCTCCTCTGCAGTGCTTCTTGTTTGCACATAGTCATTTGTACAATTAGAATGTGAACTCCCTGAGGGCAGGGACTGTCTTTGGCCTCCTTTTGTATCCACAGTGTTTAATGGTTGTTGACTGACTGACAGACCCATAGTTATGGAAGT